GGCTGCACCTTCAAGGACAAGGTCACCAACGCGGCCCGGCGCCGCGCCGCCGCCGTCGTCATCTACAACGAGCCGCGCTTCGGCAACGCCACCGTCTCCATGTCCCACCTCGGTGAGCGATCAGAGGGACACGCACACCCCGGTGGGGGGGGCGATCTCCATCCCCTGGGGGGATGGGCAGGGTGCGACATGAGCCCCTCCCTTCTGAGCAGGGTGGAAGCAGCTAGGGGGTTGTGGAGGTCAGGGGGTGGGGGGGGGCGCTGTGGAGGGGTGTGATTCAAGTCCTTTGTTGTGGGGAGGGTGGAGAGGCTTGATCAAAGCCTCCCTGATGGGGGAAACCCAGCTGGTGGGGGGTGGAGTCCCCGAGGACCTGTTAGGGACATGAGCTCCTTCCCCTAAGTCCTCGAGTTGTCCCTGTCCAGCGACGCAGGCGTGAGCCCCAAAGAGAAGCATTCGCAGGGCTTATCCCTACGAAGACATCAGGGGGGAGCACCAAGATCTAGGAGAGCAACTCTTCAGGAAGGTACCCCTTGGGAGGACGAGGACCAATGGGCACAAACTAATAGAGGGAAAATTTAGGCTGGACCTAAGGAAAACCTTCTTCTCCATAAGGGTAACTAGAACCTGGAACACATTTCCAACAGAGGTGGTGCAGTTGCCATCCCTGGAGGTGTTCAAGAGGAGGCTGGGTAAGCACCTTGTTGAGCTCATTTGAGCCCAGTAACCTCCCGCCCATGGCAAGGGACCAGACTTGATCTGGCAGGTCCTTTCTGGTCCCTTGATTCTATGATTCTGTCCCCTCTGCCACAGCAGTAAATTGAGGCAGGGGCACCAGGCTGCTGCGGGGGGGTGACCCTGGAGCTGCTGTCCAGGCTGCTAAAGAGGGGAGACGGCTTGATTGATTGGATTCTGTTTAGCCCAGAGGCATCTTCACAGTGCTCCCCTCAGTAGCCAAGTGCCTCGCCATTGGTTAATGCATGGATTTGTCGTTCATTATGGGTTGAAGAAAACCATATAGGAAGCATTTTAGAAATGGTTTCTTAACATCCAGACTTAACCCCCTGGATGTAGATTCCTGTTTGGACATTAGTGGGATACTAGGCACTTCCTCCTTGAAGTACTCTATAAACAGTAACCTATTAGTAAAAGCTTACAAGGAGATGGGGCAGTTGTTGAAAGAGGGTGATTAAGTGATGTTTTGCAAGCATGCCCATTTCCAAAGGATGAGAGTGAGCCAGGATAGGAGCCCAGGTGTTCTGGCACCAGTCTGCCTCATTCTCTCCAGACTATAGTAAATTGGATTTTGTCAGTGGAAGTATTAAAAGGGTTTGAGAACTTAAAAAGACCTTAGTCTCTAAAATTATTATTGTCAGGGAATGGGAGGTGGCCTTCAGGGCAGGATGCAAAGAATAAGAAGTCAAAGTATGCCTGGTGGATAGAAATCCTGTTGCAGACATTATACAGGCAGGGGCAGGTTCACCACTGTTGCTCATATCCAGGCAATCTTTAAAGGAGATTTCGGGCAAAATTTTAGTTTGCAGTGGAATTTTTCTGTGTTCTTAATGAGGCAAAAGTTTCCTTCCCTCTAGTGTGTCTCGGACGGCCAGGGCCAACTCGAGTTACGCTTGTACGTCAGGGCGGGCTGGTGAATGGAGAGGCAGACACAACTTATTGGTTGCAAAAAACTTTACTCACGCCGCTTGCAATAACGACGCAGGTGGTCCGGTCGTCGGAACAACCACACGAGTTGTTCCAGCTGGCGGGGCCCAAGCCAGTTAATCCGTCCGCAATTCGAAGCCGGCAGGGAAAGGGGTACGTCGGGGGTGCGCTCGGTGACGGGAAGAAAGATTGACAGGTGATCGCAAGTCAGATAACTTCAGAGGCACTCTGCAGCGTGCTCAAAGCTCTTCGACTTGGGCGGAAGTCGCGCGGAATTTTAAACGGCCAGCGAGCCAATTACTAGCCGCCACGTGTGAATAATTTAGCACTGGCCAATAGCGGGGCACAAATTTGCATCCGAATAGCGGGAACTCTTTGCACTGTGCATTTCTGTGCTGCAAAGAAGAAATACATCCTGCAAAGGAAACTGCAAATTGGCGGGAACTCTCCTGCACGCAGGCTCTCAACTGCAGCAGAACACTCTGCTGTGCAAAGGAGCTCTCATGTGGCCAGGAAATTCCATAGTGCCAAGGCACAAAAAATCACTGGGTTGTGACATAGTGAAATCAGCATTTCTTCAAAGAGGAGATTTGCAGCTGTTTCAAAGCATGTTTGAGACCCTTGAGGGAAAGTAAGCTTCCCTCTGAAGTAAATGAAGTGGCACTACCTTGTAAGTTAGTCATGGTTAACTTGTACCATAGGTTTACTTAGTTAAACAACAAGCATCAGCCTATACTGCTTTGGATTGTCTGTTAATAGCTTTAATTCCCATGTCCCTTTTTTTTTTTCTTCTTTTTTTTTTTTTTAAATAGCAGATTACTCTTTTCCACATGGAAATAATGTTTGCTTCCTCTGCTCCATTTAACACAAATTCTTTTTTAGAGTGCCCCCATGTAAGTACAGCAACTTTGCATTCCTGTTGTACCTTTTCTTCTCTTGTATGTCTTTTATCTCCTCTTGTATTCCTTTTTCTTTCTTTGCTGTGCCCTCCTTTAAGATCACACATTTCTCTGGGTAGTTTTTCACTTTGAACTTTTGCCAGTGTAGGTCTCTCAGTTAGTGATAAGAGCAGTTTGATCCCTGACAGACATAGCTGTAGATGTAGTTATAAAAACAACCACAGTTCTTTTGGTATAAATGACATTATGCCAGTAATGCTATGCTACTAAATAGCGGTGTGTGAAGTGGGCAGTAGTCTGTTTGGATTCGACCCAATTTGGGGGACAGTGATTCAGTTCATTGATTTGGATCACTGTCCTGATTCAATTCGGCCGAATCTGAAGATTCGATTCTGATTTAGAGAGAGGCGATGATTTGGCCATAGATGCAGCTTTATATGTGTTTTTTACATACCTTGAGGTACCAGGCGTGGCTCGTGAACGCTGAGATGGTGGTGGGGCGGATGGAGCGTCCTACAGGAGCGTGGGGGAAGGTCCCCTGCACACTTGACGGCGGGACCCTCCCTCCCCCCATGCCTCCCTGGCTCAGCAATCGACTGCAGGGGGACCCTGGGTGTGCCCTGACCCAGGACCAGTCACTATGCCGGGAGGTGGGGCGGGGTCCCCAGCGCACTCCGTGGTGGACTGGAAGTACTTCCGGCCCATTCTGGGTTCACCGCCCGCTCCATCCGCCCCAACATCTCAGCATTCATGAGCTGCACTTGGTACCTCAAGGTACGTAGAAAAAAACATATAAAGCTGTGTCTATGGCCGAATCGTCGAATCTCTCTGAATCAGTTTGGAGGCTTACGATTCGATTCGGATTTGGAGATTTGCCGCTGAATTGGGCCGAATCTCCTCTGAATCAAATCTGTGCCTGAAGCTTTGCATAGCCCTACTACTAAACTGTATTGGTATAACCATTTTGGCAAAGAGCTCCTTGGATGGAGCCTCAGGGAGGTGGGGCAGAAACGTTGAGGGGAGCACCAGCTTTACTGTAGGAAAGTCTGAGAACTTCTTTCTATTTAAAGGTTGAGATTTCTAAATAGTCTAAAATCCAAGCGATTATTCAAGAACCTTGAAATTTAACTTTGTGGTGCATGTAGGTTAGTGACTTAACCTGGAGGGTTTTTTGTGTGTGGGGGGTTCCCCAGGGTTTTGGTGGTTTTTGTTTGGGGTTTTTTTGATGAATGGGTTCCTGAGTTTCCAAAAAAGTTATTGTGCCTTCTAACTGACGGATTCTATCAACTCCTTTTTTTACTGCAATTGTTGCAAACCTGGGAATCAAACCATGTCTTTGATCATGGCCAGGTAGGCCCTCAGTGTATTGAGACTGAATGCAACCTACTACCTTTTGTAGGGAAGCAAAATTGGAATCAATATGAAAAATACGGTTAGCTTTTTCATAGTGAATGTTAGACACATGTCTGTGATTACAGTACACATGCACTACAAGGCTTTCTAACTATGGTGGCTCAAGGGGACAAATTGGTTATGTCTATTTTGATGTCTAGAGTTGACCTGAGGGTTCCTCTCCACTAGCATGAGCTATTTGAACCACCTTGTCTACATGTGCTGCCTCTTTCTGCAGAAGCAAACCCTATGCTGAGGTGCTGTGCTATTGCTGAATTTTAAGCAGTCCAGCTGCATTAGTGCGTGAAAGACAGGCAAGTAGACAGAAGGCAAGAATTCTTGTGGATGCTATCTTTTATTGGCTTAATATGTATGCTTGGTATGAATATAGGCAAGCTTTTGGATATATCAGTACCCTTCCTCAGTCTTCCACATAAACACAGCTACATTGCTTCTGGCTGAGGTACAATTGTGGTGTGTCTCAGTATGGTGCTGCCTTGCACTGTATAGGCCTCCTGAGGAAGGGTACTGTGATACCCAAAAGCTTGCCTACCAACCACACGGTACGATAAAAGATACCACCCAGAAGAATTCTTGCCTTTTGTATCTCTCCTGGATCATCACAGTGACAGTATCACCTCAATATTGCCCAGGCAAGTATGTGTTATTTCTTGGCTGAGCTTTTTGGCTAGTGTGCAGGACAGCAATAATGCAACTACTTGGCTTCTGGCTCAGGTATGTCTCAGTATGGTGCTGCCTTGCACTGTACAAACATACCCTGTGTTATCTTGTAGCCTGCACCATAGTTGTATATACAGGTTTCCCTCGCTTTATGCTGTCTATACTGTACATGTGTTCCTGGAAAATGGTGTATAACTTGAATTTGCATAAAGGGAACCCAGTTTAAAATGTAACAAATAAGAATACGTTCCAAGACATCGACTGTACTGACCCATTTCTACCACTTTTACAAGACAATTTTGGTATTCGCCAACAGCAGACAGTACACACAAGCACAGGGCACTATCATAGTGGGGATGGCAACTACAGAAACACGTGTCACAGACAATGAGCAAGGAGCAAAGCTATACACAGGAGACTATATTTTGGTGCGTGTCACTCCCACAATACTCCACACAAAGCAGCTGACTGTGGGCTTCCACCACACCGATCGCATAAGAGTGAATATACCTCGCATATAGTGAATTTTTGGTATAAAAAGAGCCATTGCATAAGAGTGAATTTGCACATACAGAACCCACATAAAGGAAGGGAAACCTGTACTGTGCATCTCTCCTTATGTACCTGGGTCTAATTATGTACCATGGACACAGGATGTGGTGCAAAAGGTCCAGCTATTAGGAGAGGTTGTGGGATTGCTGCTTGCAGGCCCTGAGCTTGAGATCCCCAGTGCCTGGGTGAGTGAGTTAGTATGGGTGAGTTAGTATGTAAGGGAGGTGGAGTTCAGATCTCATTTCACAATTGCAACTCTGCCAGCCTGTTTTGCTTGAACCTCCATATACAGCTGTGCTTAACACTAGAGTTGGAGTGGGTACAGAATTCCCAAAGTCTGTTTTTGTTCCAGGGGGCCATAGAAGAAGTTATGCGAGTGCATACACCTTAACTCCTCATTTCTTGGTTGTCAGAGGTTCAAGTATCACGTAACTTGAAAAGGGCATAGGAAACTACAGGACAACCTTAGGTTTATATTAATGAAGTTTATCTGTGAATCTTTTGATAGCAGAGTTATGAGAGCAAAGCTGTAATGCTTAAGTTGCCAAATATTTCTTCAGCCTGTAGTCTAATAGTATGTGTTGACCAGCTACTTTGGCCTGAAAAAGCAGGAAAGGACAGATGGATTAAAAAAAACTTGCCCACTGTCTTTATACATAGAAGTCTGTGCACTGTGGGAAAGGGTTATGTATCTATTGCCACTTTCATTGCTCCCCTCCTCTGCCACATGCACCTTAAATGCATTTAGACAGGACTCTTCAAATATGTGAAGTTTAATATATTGTGAATAAAAAGGTCCATCCAAACCTCGGGGAAGAAGTGATTCTGACATGAGCAGTCTCGGGTGTCTAAGAAAGAAAAACCATGCTTTAGCATTGAAGTGTTAGCTTCATTTGGTGGGGTTGGTTGGAATCCCTTTCCTTTCTCTTCTTTCCTGGGAATACATGAACTTCTTGTAGTTCTGAGAAAAGATGGAATGAAACTACGAGAGCAAAGCAGGCATTAAAATATAGTTTCTCAAGAGATTAATAGAATTTGCACAGAAATGTATGGGGACTATATAAACAACTCTCTTTCACTAAACCTGGAGACCCTGAGATGAGACCTGTTACACTGATATGGATAGTATCAGAGCCTAATAATTTAGTGCACTTTGTTTACTTTCTGAAGATTCTGAGGTAGACTTATTTGAGGATAAACCAACTGTTTGTGGGTGGGTTGGTTGGTTGGTGGATTTAGGACCCAGAGGCCTTGTTCCACAGGGCGGGAGGGCGACCTCCCTCAGACTGACCACAACTTTTCTATTTGGTAATAGGCAGATTTATTGATACACAGTAATAACAGAAAAGAAACAATACAAACAATCAAGCAGTTCTGTATATCTACCAAATTCTAGGGTGCCTCATCAGAGTCAAAGTACATCTGGCCAGGACACAGTCTCCACTCTGAGGCTCTCTCTTAGGTGTCAGCAGTCTGGAGGTGGGATGCCAAGGCCCACACCCCGTCCTAAAGTGGGATGGATGAGATGGGATGGTCATGTGCCCTCTGTCCATGGTGGCCTCGCTGACCCTTCCCGGGGGATGGAGATGGGGACCCCTCTTGGAGAAGAAGGATGGGGAAGGACGAGAAGGAGGGACCCAGGCAGGGCAGGGAGGGACCCTTTGTTACTCTCAAGTCTCTGCTTTTGTATTCTCCTTCCCTCCTGATGACTTTTCATCCGTGGCTATCTCTGGTTGGTTTCTCTTTGTGGTCACACTGTCCATGTACTGTCATCAACACATTCCAAGCCCATCACATGCGCACATACTAATTTGGTCTTTCCAGGCCTTCTCCTAATTTGGTCTGTTCCCCCAAAACTAAGACTTGGGGCCCTCCTGTTCTGGCGCCTTGCAGCTGGTGCCACTTGTATCTCGTGTTATGGGATAGTATAATGCGTACTCCCTCGGTTCCCACACTATTTTTCCAAACTATGTGTTGTTGTTGGCCTTATTGTTGGCCAAGTGTTCTTGTTGGCCTTATAGACCAGGGGTGGGCAGTTATTTCGGGCAGAGGGTCACTTACTGAGTTTTGGTAAGCCATTGAGAGCTGCATGACAGGCAGCCTGGGGCAGATAAATATTAATTTTCTAAATTTTTTAGGGGCCCCTAAAATAGGATAGAATGGCCTGGTGGGCCACATCAGGCCCCCTGGGCCACATTTTGCCCACCCCTGTGTTAGACAGCCTGTCAGCTTCCAAGGCTGTGATCTCACATGACTGTGAGACCCAAGCTATTTAAAAATCAATTAACCCCTGTTGCCCATCTAAACCCTTATAATGTATACATCTATACCTGTAGTAAGCCAATTCTCAAAAACCAAATCTTTAAATACCATTTCTAAGCCAACAGTTGGTTGGTTTGTTTGTTTTGGCAAAACAGGAAAAAAGCCGGAGGAGAGTGGCTAAAATCTTTGATTTTTGTTTATAAGTTCTTGGTTTGCTTTTTGTTTTGTGGTTTTATCTTGCAAAAGTGCATGTCTAGTGCTTTTACTAAAAAGCACTTTGAACAAAAGGAAACTGAAATATTCTTATAATGAGATGATACCTTAGGGCTTCTATATGTGTGCAGGGAGGCTGCTCTGATGCGCTGTAATTACAGCACATCGGAGCAGATTCCAGTGTCACATGTATCAGCATCCCCATGCTAAAAAATGGTGTTGGGGTGCTTTGAACTAAAGCTCATTCGATGAGCTTTAAAGTGCCCCACCACCGTTTTTCAGTGCGGGGACGCTGATGCGTGTGATGCTTCAGGCACTTTTTTAATTAACGCAGCTCTCAGACCTGTGCTAATTAGTGTCATTGTCCCCTCGCCCCCAGCCTCCTGAAGCACATGTATAAATGCCCTTAGTTCTAAGCTTTCTGATTAGAGTTTCAGAATATTTCCACTACAAACTCTATATCTACAGATCACATTTAAAAGGAGAAAAAAAGAACTCAAAGGTCCTATTGATTCATAGTAGCAGAATCTCGGGAATTAACTGGGTGTCTCTCTCACATCACAAAAAGATAAATTTATGTCTCCACTAAAGATTTATGAATTAAAAAGTGTATGGTTTAGTACATTATAGAATGTATGTGATTTCAAGACTTTATATATGTACTTAATATATATGTATTCTATATTATACTTATCATATATATTTATAAAATGCATATATATTTAATATATGGGCAAATAATATATATTTATATATACTTTTATATATTTCAAGACTTTATAGGTATATGTTATTTATATATTTTCTAACTGAATATTAACATCACCATCCAGTTTTATCTGCAGGCATGTTAGGCCTGAATATATAGCTATCAGACATGCATATATGCCCATGGGTAGATCACAGATTTTGAAAGGAGGGATGCACATGGTGTGGTGTGGCATCACATAATGTAGTGCACATTTTTTCTCCAATTAAAAAGAGCCTAGAAGTGTTACTAATATGTTGGGGGCGTAAGGCTATATAATTCAGTTTAAAAACCAAGCAAAACCAAATATAGCTTGAGTGGTGGTCAGAATAGGGGTGCTGATTGCCAGCTCCAGTGTGAACAGGCACCTGGTGCCATGGGAGTATAACTGTTAGTCCCCAGACTAGCCATAAACAAAACTGCTCCCTGCACCCCAACATGTGGGTCTCCCAGACATTGCACCATAGCCCCAAACTGCCCCTCGTTGTCCTTTATTCATTGCCCTTGTCCCTTCAAATCCCTCCCACTATCTTCTATTATTATTATTATCTCTTATTATTATTATCCACATATCCCACCACATTGTTTTCTAAGCCCCATTAGATATCTTCATCCCTGCCTCGAGCCCTATTAATTTCTATGTTGCCGTCATGAACCCACTGGACCCTGCACACAGACATCAGCTCCCCTGACTCTTCACCATCCCCCTTATAATGCATCGAGTCCTCTCCTGCCCTAAATTTCACTGCAGTCCCTCGCATCCCTGTGCCCTCTCACCCACAGTCTCTGTTGATCACAACCCTTCATACCCTATTTCACCCCCATTGCCTCTGCTATGTAGACCAAGGATAAA